CAATATAACTCTTACAATTGATAAATTGGATTCGATATACTGTTGTACTACAGCGCTAATGTTACCAGACCTAATTCTATAATGATCCAAGTTATTATGACTTTAGGTGTTGAACATCCGTCATCAAAAGAGACGAGATCAAGCTCATTCTGTCGTTGGAACCGGTAACTACATGGCTCCGGAGGTTATTCTAAAGATAGGTGAGTGGTTTATTAAGTTTTTACAACTTCAAAGGATTATCCTTCTGCTAAGCTTTCTAGTTATAAAATTTTCCCTCTTAGCTTAAAGTTTTAAGGTCACACTCAACTCTGTGATTGGTGGTCAGTTGGAGTCATTTTGTATGAGATGGTATTTGGACGTCCTCCCTTTATGTCTGTTGCTGATGATCCGAAGGAGACTCAATACAAGGTTGCTTACCTACAATGGTTTTCTTTTTTGAAGTTTGATGCCCAATTTTGCAGATTATTAATTGGCCAAGATATCTCGATGTTTCTCCTCGGGCCGGAGGTGCTCATCTATCGCGTGACTGCATCTCGCTCATACAGCGTCTATGCTGCGATAAGAATAACAGAATTGGATCGATTGGAGCTCGAGAAGTGATGGATCATCCATGGTTTCGGGTAATTGGTTTAGTTTTCAATTTTGATATTTCCACCATTTTTACTGAAGAATTTAGGGAATCGATTTCAAAAATTTGCGTTCCACCAGGGCTGAATTTATCCCAAGAGTCGAACATGCTGAAGATACTTCCAACTTTGAGGCTGTTGAGGTAGGTTTGGTCCTTTCTCGCAAATGCTATACTTCTGTATTACATACTTCCCTTTAGATAAGCGAATCACCTTTCGAAACTCTTGGTAAACGTGCCCCGAATAATCCTGCCTTCTACGAGTTCACCTTTCGCCACTTCTTCGACACCGACGGCCAAGGATGTCCTAGTCTCCGACCACCGCAGAAACGCCCGCCACTTGCTCCATTATTTGAGAGTAGTGGAACCAGGCATGAGACTGTTAGCAGCTCGGAGTCGATCGTAATTTAGCTCTTGATACAAGTGTTCGTCAAGAAATGGTAACAATCAGAGTGAGAGGGATACAGTTGGGGAAGTTGAATTGGTCTAAAAGTTAAACTCTAGACCTCATGGTAATCTTGCATAGCTTTGACTGCTTATACTTAATTTCAATCTATTATTTTTTGACTGGTTTTTGAGCCATCTTTCATCATAATTTAGTCGTATATGACTATTAATTGCTGAAAAAAAATCTTCTAAACTTTTGGCGTTTTATAGGGGTGTTATTTCAATCAATTCTAATACTATAGAGCATTCGTAACTTAAGAGTTTTTTTTTGCTTCTCAAGTTTTACATCGTCCAAACTACGTTTGATGGTAGTTTCGTACTTTCTCTACATCTATGCTACAAAGATTTCTAAGGTGTTTTTTTAATAGGTAGGAAAAAGTAGAGAATCAGTGGTGCTTCCCAAATACCGTATCCTTCTGCTTCGATTGGTGCGCTGATAGCTTTCCAATTTTGCTGATTGGTCAGCCTCATACCAACCTTTGGTTGGTCAGTTTTAACCAATCAATAGCTTTCTGGGATGCATGTAGTGTTCATGAAGTTGATTTCAAAAGGTTAAATAATTTTTTAAGGACCATCTTTTTCTCGTGTTTTGGTTGTGCATATTTGTGGTGGCTTTCTCAACCAAAAATTAAGTGCTATTTATTTGCTTTTTGAAACATTTCATGTATCCCTAAAAAGGTAATGTGATATTTAATGCTTAATTTCATTCTT